AGAAATATGAGCTCTTGGTTTGTAAATTGGAGTCCTTATTTTGTGTGAGGTGGGCTAGCAGAATTAGTTAATGGAGACCATCATATTCAATTTGAATGGTCTGGATTGATTGGTCCTTATGCTCTAGATGATGAGATCCAAAGTAGATCTCTGTCATATTAGTTGTAGCAAATGAGGACAACTTTATTGACGATTTGGTATGAAAATAAACACATGTTTATTGAGTATTCAATACAATGCAATGCTCATGAAGTTGGAAGTCCACAGTATTTGATTTGTGCCTTTATTGTATAGTCGGCAACACACACACACACACACAAAGGCAATTCCAGACCAATAAAACTTCCTGCATTACGAAAATCGAAAAAAAGTCTATCACACGCACATACAAAAGGGCGACTCCAAACCAATAAGACTTCCCGCATTACGAAAGTCGAAAAAACATCTATCATAAGCAGTCTTATATTTACTTGACAAAACTTTAAAATCACAAATGTGTGTGTATATATATACATATATATACATACATACATACATACATACATACATACTTATATACACACATATTTATAAAGCCAGGTGTAGTATACAGAACTTGGAATAATGGTGGATGATGGTGGTCACGTGGACAGTGGACTAGTATCTAAGGCATATCTTACTTAGAACTTAATAAAATGACAAACAAAGTGGATGCAATGACAACTGGTGCCGGATTATTCTTTGCTTACTTCGATTTCTAAATTGTGAATATAAGTTGAATATTATTTATGGCTTTTTCTCAACTTTGTATAGGTTGTCACCGGAAACTCACTTGCGTCACGACTAACAGTAATAACACATACGGCACAAGCGAGTACCAAAAAAAAAAAATCATTTGCATCAACAATTAACAGTAACTTTACGCTCGAACGATTATTCTCACCTGATTGTCCTTGAAGTAACACTAATAGCTCGTTTACTAACTCGTAATCAGAATGAGAATAAGAAATCCGATTTCGATTACGGATTATACATGTGTTTACTAAAATTGGGAGGAATTAAAAGTGTGTGAGCCCACACAAAAAATGGAATCCAATTCCTTAAATTGGAGGATTTGGATTATATACAAGGTATTTGGATTCCAGATTGCCCAAGCAATCGGAATGATAATTTTTTTCCTTTTATGCCCTCACTTACTTTCATTATTTCCAAGATTATCCTTTTAACCCTAGACTTATTTTCTTTTGACCCAGCTTATTTTCTATTTTCACCCAGCTCATTTCTTTTCACCCAACCCATGTCCTTCTAACTCATTAAGCATAATTATATGCTCATTTACATTATGCACAACTCTATACATATGCCGAAGAGAAAAAACTACAACTTGAGCGAGAAAATTTAGACATTAAAATCAATACTTAAATTTATAAAAAAAAATAAACAAAATCATTTTAGTATGTCTATGAAATAAAAAAGAAATTTAATTTTTTTCTTACTATTATATACTATATCACATTTTATTAAAAAAAATAAATATATATATATATATAATATTTGATTTGAGACAAGGGCATTTTAGTAATCATACTGGTTTATATTCCGATTCTGCTAAATTAGTAAACAGCTTTATGAAATTCTATTCCGATTCCGGACAAATTTAGTAAACAACTTCAACATGAATCTGATTTTGATTCCACCTCATTTCAATTCATCCTCAATCTAATTCCTCCTCAAATCAATTCCTCACAATTTGATTACGAATTAGTAAATACGCTATAAATACAATCGTCCAAACTCAAAATTGTGTTTATTCTTAGTCGTCATCAGTACACACAAGTGCATAATTTAATAGTACGTAGAAAATTACATGAAATTCACATGCAGTGCGGGCCATACTGATTGGGAACAGATATAGCGGCAAGTTTCTGTACCATAAATGGCCTTGTTTGGTTGATGGGATGTGGACAATTCTTGAGGGAAATACTTTCATGTCATGCAGGAACCCGGATCCTCTTCGAACTAAAAAAAATATGAATCTAAGAATCAAATGATCTGTACCGTTGAAATTTGATCAAACGGTTACAATTATTACAACTTTTAGAGAGCTCTCCTATTTGTAGCCGTTGGATCAATTTCAACGATCCGGATCATTTGATCCATAGGGTCAGATTCTTTGGATCTGAAGAAGATCCGGGTCCATGTATTGTCACTTTCGTATGCTAAGTAACAATGTGTGACATGTAAGTTATTCTTGCTTTCTCGACTAATTGCTGTTGCAACCTATTTCTTATTAGTGTTACATTATAGGGCTTGTAAGCGCTTTTTAAATGATTGAACGCTCTGTTGATGAAGATGTTTTTTAAAGTAATTATTGGTAAAAATCTAAGTGAATCTTGGAAAAGTACTTCAAATGTTTTCTACAAAAAACACCAAAAAAATACTTAATGATTTTGAAATCCAAAATTAATTTTATCAAAAAAAACGTTTTTAATCATTTTAAACAAACTTCCGAACGAACTCATAATCTTAATTTAATTTTCTTTTTATTATTAAGTGGGGAACATCTGCAACGTGACTAACAATGCAGATCAGACATGTTGGAATTAATGGAATACACTGTGGTGATTCTCTTTTCTTTGTAGAAGATTGAGCACTGTTAACGAATTGTTGGAAATTAATATTAATCTAGTTAACAGAAAGTGGTTGATTTAGAATAAATATTATGAAAATTAGATAATGGGATCGTCCAGGAAGGAGGATTCTCTCCCCCTTCCCTTTTCTCATATTTGAACTGTTATGGTTTACCCACGTTAACATTTTATATTGATTTTTTTATAAAGACAATAAGATAAAAAACAATAAGTGAGAGCATAGGAGGGAAGATGATGAAAATAGAAGGAGAGAGAACACTACTCCATTTGGAAGGAGTAAGAAAAAGTTCTTTATTCTGTTAACCTACCAATCATGAAAATAAGTCATAAATTTTAGGCAGTCAACAAGGAAACCTGCTCCCTCTGTCTCTTCCTCCCTTTGTTCGAATTAATTATCACACCGTTACATGTTGTTGAATCTACGTATATACAGATGTGTCAATATTATACTACAAGTATTGATATATATTACCAACGTCGTTCACTGTTATATATAACATATAAACTAAGAGCATTATGATTCTCGCACTCAGCAAATTATCATGTCCATGTTATGAACCGTTAACATGAACTGTTGAAGGAATCTAAAGGTAGATCACGGGCAGTTCATTGCCTTCCCGTTCATGGAATAAAACTTGGAAGGTCTATACAAGTCCCCTTTAGTTCTTCAAGGCTCACAACACAACATTCAATTTCACCTTTCTTTTATGATTGAGAAACGACTTTAACGGTCCATTATCCTTTTTTACATATTTTTTTAGAAACTGTTATTATTGGTACTTTAAAAATATTATTTTGTACTTCTTATAAGTATATTTTTTAAATATAAAAATGTTTGAATTGTAAAATGAAAATTTTCAAAATACCGATAACAATTTCGATGATAATTTATGGCTGCATCGTTTTCTTAGGGTCACTTCAAAGGGTAGTAAAACTACAGTAGAAATTGGACTTTTTAAAACGTAAAAAACCCATACCATTTGAAGTAGGACTTTCATGATTAGCAAGTCCACTTTATTTTCAAATAATGTTAACTTTTTTTGTGATTCGCATAATAAATAATGCCTCGAAGACCAATTCTATAAAGATCAAAGATTAGCATGGCGTTGCGATACAATATTCTCGTATTATGTAAGTCAATTTCATAAGCATATTTTAAGTGGGATGGTTTGATCATGTTATTTATGCAGCAGTTGTTGGCATCACCCAGGTGTTTTTTATTGTGAGAGTAATCACACATGATGCGATATTTTTTTTTCTATTAGATGACTTACTTATATTGAAGTAAATTCATGTCCTCCACCTATTACATTACGTGGTTATGTGATTATATACACAAAAAGAGAGCATGTAAATGATCTTTTCTTTCATCCATACCCATGAACCCCACCTGATTGAGAACGAGGCTACATATTATGGCTGTACACACAATATACTGTTATGCATTTATGATTGTCTCCTCATTCAAATCCATCAGCCCGCACGGTAATCCTATCCTAATGCAAGTTTATCTTTTTACATGAGCGTAATGATCCCATCAAAACTTTTTCTTAATACAGAAAAAACTTGCAATAGAACGCCACTAGAAAAGTAAGTTAAGTTAATAACGTATTATCTATAAATAAGTTAGGCATATAACAATTACGTGATTAGTTTACAATACTGTCAAAATAAGTCATTTTCTATCCTTCAAATTAATCACACATGAGCAGATTTAGGAAATAATATTAGGGGGGTCAGTAATAATAATTTTTTTTTTACCAGAAATAGCATGCATATCGCCATTTCATCGAGTCTTGGTAGGCCTAAAGTCATTTGAAAAGACATATTGCACACCTGTTAATGTAAGGGGTAGCATCCAAGGTATCTATGGACATTTACCGAGTATTAGTAGGCATGAAGTCAGTGGAAGGGCATGTATGAAATTAACTCTAATCTTCAAAAGGGCAGCACCCAGGGTATCAATGAACATTCACCAAAGTTAAAAAAATTAGCACTCAAGGTATCTATAGATGTTCACCGAAGTTCAGAGGGTGACCCCTTTGCCCTTCAATGCATCCGCCACTGCACACGTGGAAAAAGCCAAGCAGAGTTGACCAAAAAGATATGCAAAAAAGCAGATGATAAAAAACCAGTGACAACTGAGCAACGAAGAAACTCCAAATGAATAATAAAAGTAGTAAGAAAGAGACCTCCCACAAAAGAGTCAAACGTTACTCGCCCACTCCAAAATACCAAACCTCTCTGTTTCCATCTTTTTTTCTTCATTTCCCATATTTTTTAATATTTTCTTTTTTTTTCGCCGACACAATGCATGCACAGTAACATTTTATTTATTTATTTATAATTTTGGGTTAATTACTCAAGCTTCGAATCTCCCAGAGAGACTCTGACTCTTTTGTTTAAATGGCAATGACGCTCATTGCTGGTGGCGATCTGCTACTCCAACTAATATTGCTACCAGATACTTCTCTCTGCTGCTTCTTCTTCTTCTTCTTCCCCTGCGCCTCCATTGTCATCCTGCATGCGCCCCACCTCACCTGAACACACTACTCCCCCTCTCTCTGTGCTTCCAACACTGCAATGGCTGATCACCCTTCTGCTGACTCGCTCTCTGTGACTCGCTGGCTCACTGAGTTCGTGCTAATCGCCTCGACTTTGGCTGCTCTGCCTCTCGTTAGTGGCACCACCGATGCTTCTGATGGTATTTTCTCATTATTTATCTATTTTCAATAATTTTCTCAGTAAAATTCTTTTTATTAAATAAAAGTTTTGAGCTTCGATTCTGGGTTGGTTTTGTTTTATGGTTTTGAGTGGAAATATTGATTTTTTGAGGGAAAATGGACTTTCGAGTCTTTGACTTTGGGGTTTTGTGATTTTGTGATCTGTTGATGTATTTTTTTTCCCTTCAAAGATGAACCCCTTAGCCCTTGTTTGGCTGCTGAGAAGGAACAAAAATGAGGGAAATTAAAAAAACTGCAGTTGTTTTTTGCTTTTTTTGTTCCATATAATGTTGATTTGGTTAGTGGAAAATGAGAAATTTCATCATTAACTTGGCTAAATTCAGCTTAGAGGAGTTCACCAAATTCAATAGAGGAATCAAGGCTTGAAACTTTACCCCATTTTTGAAGTTTTGGATTTATCTTACCAGATAGCAAATGAAGGCAGGAAATAAGTAGCTAGGCTTTTGTGAGAAATTGGTGTGCTTTTTTCAAAAGTGATGTTCTTTGCCTTGCAGTTCGAGCACTTCAGGTACTGTACACCTCAGTAAACAGTCCTTCTCAGCTAACCGGTTGGAAAAGTAGTGGCGGTGATCCGTGTGGAGAGTCATGGAAAGGGGTAACTTGTGAGGGCTCAGCTGTTGTTTCAGTGTACGATTCTATGTTTCGAAAATGTGGCTGGTTTTGAAGTTTATTCGATTAATTGAGTTGGTTCATTGACTTTGTTAATGTGTCATATTGTTGTTATACCAGAGAGGTTTCCGGGTTAGGTCTCAGTGGAACTATTGGATACTTGCTTTCCGACCTGCTATCATTGTTAAAACTGTGAGAATTCTATCGCTCTGTTTTTCTTATGATTTGTTTTTGGGGTTTTGCAATAAATTCTATATGTTTCAATTGATTTGCTGAGTTACTAATATTAAGTTTTTCGTGTTCATCGGTGATTTGAGCGACAACAATTTTCATGATACAATCCCATATCAGCTACCGCCAAATCTTACAAGCCTGTAATGCTCAATCATTTATTTATTCATTCTTTTGTTCTTAGAAGTTGTTTTCCTTGCTACTATGATGCTCAATTGTTATTCTTTTTCCTTCTTGTTTTGTGCATGTATGTACAGAAATCTTGCAAGGAACAACTTCACTGGAAATTTACCTTATTCTATTGCCAACATGGTTTCTCTCAGTTATTTGTAAGTTGCCGGTATTGAATTTTACGAAGTTTCATTAACATTCTCATGCAGTTCCGTTACACACGATGAGGATGTTCTGATGTATTTGTGAAATCCATGGTTTTAGGAATGTTAGCCGTAACTCACTATCCCAGTCAATTGGTGACATTTTTGCTCATCTTGCTGGCCTTTCTACCTTGTAAGATACCTTACTCTAGCATTTCTTTTGCATAATCATTCTACCATCTTGACGTCGTTAATGCTTTTCCTTGCAGGGATCTATCTCTTAACAACTTTACCAGTGATATTCCTAATTCCTTAAGTTCATTGTCCAATCTTTCTTCCCTGTGAGTTTTTGTTATCAAAGTGCTGATTTCTATTGAAATTTCTGTTTGTGAATATTCTACTGTTTATTTGCAGTCACTTGTAATTACATCTTGATTTGTGCCAGCTATATGCAGAACAATCAACTGACTGGTACTCTCAATGTTCTGACGGGTTTGCCTTTGACTACTTTGTAAGGGTGTTTTCCCTCCTTGTTTAGTTTAACATTCGACTACCTACCTTTATACTGTTGTTGTGCACATTTTTTTGAGCAGAAATGTTGCCAACAACCATTTCAGTGGATGGATACCCCAAGAGCTTAGTTCAATTCGTACTTTTATGTGAGTGCCTTCTTTACTTAATGCATATCTGAATTTAGTGCTCAACTTTTTCAGTGTGTCTGATTTGGTTCTTAAAATTGAAATAGTTATGATGGAAATGGTTTTGATAATGGTCCTGCTCCTCCACCACCACCATATAACCCACCTCCCCCGGGAAGATCTACTAAGAATCGCAGTCGTTCCGGATCTGGAACACCCCCACAGGGATCTGATGGCCAATCACATGATTCAAAAAATGGGCTGGCCGTTGGGGCTTTGGTAGGGATAATTCTGGGTTCTGTTTTTGTTGCTCTCATTGTCTTACTTGCTCTTGCCTTTTGCATACGCAAAAATAAAAGGGAGGACAGGATTCCAAGAGCTTCTGGGGGAAATGTCTCTGCTCGCACAAATAATGGTAGAATCGCTTTCCTCTTCGTTTCCTTTCCCTTTTCCTTTTGAAGCTTGGCTTTTTAATATGTTGGCAATATGATTTGAGAGGCACGTGGTTTCTTTGAAACAAGATTTGTTTTTTAGTAGCGTAAATACAAGCATTTTCCCCTTTCCAAATAGACGCAGAAAGGTTAACGCTATTTCTTACAAATATTGGACGGTACTCTTGAGTATTGTAACCATTTACATGCTGCACCCTGCTCTATTTTGCAGTAAATACTGAGATGCAAGAGCAGAGGGTAAAAAGTGCGGCTGCTGTAACTGATCTCATGCCTCCACCCGCAGAAATTTTGGTGGTTGATAGGTTACATAGTAAAAATGGATCGATAAAAAGGATAAAATCACCTATCACTGCTACTCCTTATACTGTAGCCTCTCTCCAATCAGCAACTAATAGCTTCAGTCAAGAATTTCTTATTGGTGAAGGTTCTCTTGGACGTGTTTACAGAGCAGAGTTCCCTAATGGAAAGGTAAATTTGTTTATTGTTACATAATATATGCACATGTATAAAGTGAAAGCTGTATTAGATACTGTAACAAAGATGTACATTATAAGCTGTTGATGGTGCTGCCATCGTTATAGCTTCTGTGGTGGGAACTGAACTGCTGGGATCCTGAGCTAGTTCTCTCCATACACGACACAAACGCAGGCACAAATATTGATGGATGTATCTTTATTTTATTTTTCCTTGCTGTGGGGAGTGTAACTAATCTTAATAGACACACACCTTTTGCCGATTTAGCGAGTGAGATATGTAATCTCAGCTGAAGTAAAAAGCTAAATTTAGGATGAAATTTAGTTTGTTACCTGCAATATAGACTTTGGCCTTTGATAGTATTAGATGGAGTTATCTCCACCATCTGCTTCTTGCCTTATCTATTGGGTAGTACTTAGCTTCACTTGCATAGTACTGTTGACTAATGATTACATATATTCTCGCACCCGAGCTCCTAGGTTTACTGAGGTTGAATTCTCCTGTAATACCACCTGTTATACTAGTGGCACATTGACTAATTTTTTCTGTCTTTTTTTCGTAATGTAGATAATGGCAATTAAGAAAATTGACAATGCAGCACTATCATTGCAAGAGGAAGATAATTTCCTTGAAGCTATTTCAAATATGTCGCGCTTGAGGCATCAAAACATTGTTACACTGGCTGGATATTGCGCAGAGCATGGGCAGTGTCTTCTAGTCTATGAGCATATAGGAAACGGGAGCTTGCATGACATTCTTCATTTTGCTGAAGATGGCAGTAAGACTCTGAATTGGAATGCCCGTGTTAGGGTAGCACTTGGCACAGCTCGAGCTTTAGAGTATGTTACATGTTTCGAAATTTAAGTCTGCTTGTGTGAGTGTGTGTGTGTGTGTGGTGTGTGCGGGACATGCGTAATGATTGCTCAAAAACACTTCCTAAGTTAAAGATTCTCCTGCCAGGTACTTGCATGAAGTTTGCTTACCTTCTGTTGTACATAGAAACTTCAAGTCAGCAAATATTTTACTTGATGAAGAGCTCAATCCCCACTTATCTGACTGTGGATTAGCTGCTCTAACGCCAAACACAGAGCGACAGGTAAAACCAATGAAGTTAAATTGTTCTTATGGATTGCGAGTCAGTATTCAGTCGTCATGCTTTTGTTGTGTACTCGAGTGATTAATTTAACTTCATGATTCACAGGTTTCACCTCAGATGGTGGGTTCATTTGGTTATAGTGCTCCTGAATTCGCCTTGTCAGGAGTATACACTGTAAAAAGTGACGTCTACAGCTTTGGGGTGGTGATGCTCGAGCTGTTGACTGGTCGGAAGCCACTAGACAGGTATGTCTGGCCCACGTTATTGAATTGTCAGGTTTATGTTTTCTTTTCCTCAAAATTGCTTGATTCTTTAAGTGTTGATTAATAATTCCCATTTCCCTCGAATTCGTCTAATGTTTAGTTCAAGGTCGAGGTCAGAACAGTCACTTGTGAGATGGGCTACTCCCCAACTACATGATATAGACGCCCTAGCAAAAATGGTTGATCCGGCCTTAAATGGCATGTATCCTGCGAAGTCTCTTTCACGTTTCGCTGACGTCATTGCGCTTTGTGTTCAGGTAACTTCTTTACTAATGCTAGCAGGATTTTTTTTACTGTAGTTAGATAAAGAAGAAGCAATTAGTTGCCCACTTATGGCCTTTAAGAGCATCACTAACGGTTAAATACAAGATCGAGCTGCTCGCACAATTGAAGATAATCGTGTTTTTCTTTCTTCTTGTCACATCTCCGCGAGGAAAGATAAAATAGGTTCTTGTAAAGGGAGGGGGGGAACGTTCAGTTCAAAGTTCTTTAATTTTTTGACCTTTATCTCGTTTCTCATCTTTTAGAAACTAACCATTCACATTGTCTTTTATGCATAGCCGGAGCCTGAATTCCGGCCTCCCATGTCCGAAGTTGTGCAAGCGCTGGTCCGCTTAGTGCAAAGAGCAAGCGTGGTCAGACGTTCAAGTGACGAATCTGGTTTCGCATACAGGACCCCCGATCACGAAGCAATTGACATGCCATTTTAAGTGTCCCCGGCATCCTTTTTTCTCACTTTTCTTTTTCTTGCTAGGAGAGATTCCATGGTGTGTGAGTTGATAGATTCAAACCCAAGCCTCGGGAAGGAGACGACGCAGACAAGTACCTTTTTTCCTGTTGAAGCACATATGTTGAAGATATTTGCAGTTTTTCTTATACAAATGGGGAGGCGAGGTTCGGATGGAACACATAGAAGCGGAGACGAACAAACGATTTGTGCTGAAATTAGATTAAAAAGATATATAATTATGATTCATAAAGTTTTATTTGCACATAATAATAAACCTTACGATCACTGTCAAACAATTAAATGCAATGCAAGTATTCTGGTAATTGGCAGCTAAATTTTTACCTTGGTTTAGCTTCCGAAGCCATTTAAATTCTAAACTCACGGAAATGTTGCTTTTTTGTAACCGAATGGTTACAATTTCAAGTCGTAGAAACTGTTTCTTTGTAAAGTAAAAGTTAGATTGCGTACAGTAAACATTTATTTATGGATTCTCGTTGAGCAGGAAGCTTTGTTGATTTTGGATCGGTCATATAAGTTCCAGAGTCAAATTGTCTGCGAAATGCGAAATTGTTGGTCGCAAAAGCATGATCTTTTTAGGTCCAAATCAATTGCGGAACCACTGTCAAATTATGGTTGACATGTTATTGTTATTAGGCAGGAATGGTTGCGTGTTGGATAAGTAATTTTAATTTTTGATGCAAAATTAACTTTAAAATGGACGGATTTGATTGGCCAATTGCAATCGGTCGTCCCAAATCCCACGGCAGAGAATCCTTCTTTATACAGACAAAATAAAAAAAATAAAAAAAAGGGAAGTCCTCGTTGTAACCCGGACAAGTCCCGCAAATTCCAGTCCAATCTCCGCCCTTCCCTTTTTGCCAGATTCCGACATCTATTTTTAGCAGCTTCCGACCCGAAATCGCCGCGTTTCTCCCTCAGGTCTCAGCTGTTCTGTTGAGGAGGGTCCAAATCCAGACGACCCGACAGCACACAAATCGATGTCCGTAAACATAGTTCAAATTGAACCAGTCCCACCAGAAGAAGATGGACACACCTCAGCTCAGCCCCTCGACCCCACCACCTCCTCCTCCGCCTATCCCAACCCCGCTTTGCTGCATTACCGGTCCGGCTCCTCCACTCCCGGGAGCCGCCCGTCATCCCCGACTAACTCACCGGGAAACGGCCTCACTCGGTTTTCCACCTCGGAGGCGCCACCGGATTGGGTGCCGAAGATGCAGAGGAGGACCTCCGCCAGGAAGGTGGGAGTTGAGAGGGCGTGGTATAGCAAAAAGCGAGTGAAGGGGATTGTGTGGGTGATTGGATTGTTGGTATTTTTCTTCTTGATGAATTGGGTTATGCTTTTGCGGCTTCAAGGTCATGGGATCCGTTCTGAATCCGGGTTACGCGGGAATTCGTCTCTGCCGTCGGTTTCCGTCACCATTCCGGTATGTTGTCGATGCGAAGTTTCGAACTTTTTGGCCTTTGGATATAGGGGATTCGAACTTGAGTGCATAGGCGTGAAAGTTTCAAACTTTGATAAAACATAAGAACACAAAACCGAACTTGAAAGGTCACCAGATGAGTCCTAAGATTTTTCGTTTTTTGTATGTTTTCAGGAGAAATGGAGAAAAATTGGTAGAGTAAAAAAGGCACAGAAAGGCAATTATGGAAGGATGCTGGCTTTGGCCGCCCATGCATTGGCAGAGGTAATGTCTTCTCTGGTTAACTGGAATCTGGGTTTAGTTAATTGATGAGATCTCGTTCTAATCACTCGATGTGCCTTTTTTGGCTGGTACATTGAATGATGCAGGGGCAGAGTAAACCTGAGCCGAAAGATCTGTGGCTGGAGCCATTAGTACCTTCTGTTTCTTGGAAACCTTGTGCCGACCAACGGAGCTGGGAACCTAATGGTAGTCCTTTGTCCTTGTATTTTAAAATTTCTAAGGATGCTCAGTTTAGTTTGTTAACGGAGTAAGCTAGCTCTAATATCAACTTCTCTGTGGTACCTTATAGAGGGAAAGAATGGATTCATTTTGGTCACTGCAAACGGTGGGATGAACCAGCAGCGAGTAGCTGTAAGTGATGCTTGCCTTAAGTCATTGTATCTTTGGAAACGTAATTATAGGATGTGGTCCTATGAGGCTTTATGTTGCTGTGAGTTCAATTGTTATTACCTACTCGTTATTTTGTTTGGCTACAGGTTTGCAATGCTGTCGCTGTTGCACGATTACTCAATTCAACTCTGGTTGTTCCCAAGTTTTTGTATAGTAGTATATGGAGAGATGTGAGGTGACATACTTTTCCTTTTCTCCACTCAAGAATTTTCCTTTTTTTTCGTTTGCCATATGGTTGATGTTGTTTCTGCCATAAAAAAGACCTGCATTTAACTTCCGGATTTAGAACCTAAGTGGGGTCTGAGGGTTGTTCGGGCTGCTTTTTTGGCCTGTTGGATACAATATACAAATTTCTAGCTCCTTTATCATTTTGCATTAGTCATTTTCTTTTCTTCTCGTTTGAAATAACTCTTTAATTACTGGCTTTGATGTTTTCTGATGATTCATTGTTTACCTAACATCTTGCTTTCTAGTTATTTGTTTTTGTGTCTTTTATTCTCCTTTTTTTTGCCTTTGAAAATAATGATAACAATCTGTATGATTTCATAGTCAGTTCGGCGATATCTATCAGGAGGAGCATTTTATTAATTACTTGTCGCCTGATATTCGGATAGTGAAGGAACTCCCAAAGGAGCTACAGTCATTAGATTTGGAAGCAATTGGTAGTGTTGTAAGTCCCTCAGCGAAATTAAATATTCTTATCCATCAAAGTGTTTGCTTCACTATGAGTTTGTTTCTGATTCCTTTTACAATTCGTTCCAGGTGACAGATGTGGACATACCCAAAGAGGCAAAGCCAAGTTTTTACTTAAAACACATAATCCCCATTCTACTTAAGAATGGAGTCGTACATTTTCTTGGATTTGGGCATCGGTTGGCATTTGATCCAATACCATTTCAGTTGCAGGTACACAATAAGCTCTGACACCCTAAGCGATTCTGGTCTTCCTCACTCTTTTCACTTGCTTGCTTGCTTACCGCTCTTCATTTCCAGTATTCCTAATTGGGGAACTTCATATAGAGACTTCGATGCAGATGTAATTTTCACGCCCTTCAATTTATCCCCAAGATACAAGAAGTTGGTGCTTTACTTCTTCAAAGACTGCGTCAAAATGAAACTCACCCTGGACCACTTGATCGTTATCTTGTTGGTTCATTTGCAGAACCAGTCAAGAAACAGACTAAAAGTCGTGCTAAGAAAGCTTCCAGATATCTAGCTTTACACCTGAGGTTTGAAATTGACATGGTAGCTCATTCTCTGTGTGAGTTTGGTGGAGGTGAGGAAGAGAGAAAAGAGTTGGAAGCGTATCGTGAAATCCATTTCCCCGCATTGACACTTCTCAAGAAGACTACAACGTAAGTAGTATATCATTTGATTGGTGTTTTTTTTGTTTGATAGTTCATGATAATTAATGGTAGATTGAGAGAACATTTACTTTAAGGGTTCCCGTTCTTACACTTACCACTTTATACATACTTTTTAGCGGATCAAAGAGATTGAGTTTTACCGTCTTATCGATTTTTTTTTAACTTGTTTCAGGCTGCCTACTCCTGCAGAGCTCAGGGAAGAAGGCTTATGTCCCTTAACACCTGAAGAAGCAGTACTTATGCTTGCTGCTCTTGGTTTCAACAGGAAGACTCATGTATTTGTGGCAGGTTCACAGATATATGGAGGGAGATCAAGGATGATTGCTTTGACTAGCCTGTATCCGAAATTAGTGACCAAAGAAAATTTGCTCACACCGACTGAACTTGAACCTTTCATGAATTTTTCATCCCAGGTAATGAGATGCTGTAAATGTTTTAAGATTATTTGTACATTTCGGTTTTACTGCCGCTTTTACATGCCTAAGTCAATTCCTTCTGTAGTTAGCAGCACTGGACTTCATAGGCTGCACTGCTGCCGATGCATTTGCCATGACCGATTCAGGAAGTCAGTTATCATCCTTGGTGTCTGGTTTTCGAATATACTATGGTGGAGGGAAAATGCCAACAATACGACCAAACAAACGCAGGCTTGCGAGCATTTTTATGAAGAATTCCACTATCGAATGGCGTGTTTTTGAGCAGAGAATTCGAAAGGCAGTTAGACAAACTAAACATATCCAACCAAGGCCTAAGGCGAGGAGTATGTATAGATATCCACGGTGCGACGAGTGCATGTGCAACATGACAATAATCTCCTGACTGTTGTTTCCTAGAGTTGTGTCATGCTTTTCCCGACAACTTGCGGCATTCGGATATCTGACTAGCCCTGAAGGGTACGTATAATTCTCCCTTTAATCTGACCGGCCAGGACAAACAACCGGAGGTGGCCCTGCATGAGCGCTCCCCTTGTTGCTGATTCAATTGTAATATGTAAAATTCATCATGATTTGTACTCTAACCATTGATCCAATCATAATTTTATTCATTCAAATTCCATTTATAAGAGTTGTGACAGCTAAAACTTCTCATCATTTTGATATCGAAACAGGAAAAACCGATATGGGTATCCTGACAATATGATTTAAACTTCCAGTAAGAACAATTTCACCAAATGTAAAATCATCCATCGCTTGCGTCACCTTAACTTGTATAAGCAGTTCTTGGATGCCTTCTGGAGCAATCCTAAACCAAGTCGGACACAGATCCACTATTGTCCCATTAGGTGACACCGCAGAGCAAACGTAAGTCTCTGGCTTGCTCCCCACGTTATTGAAAATCCGTCGGACGATTTGAGACCCCCTCAATGCCGATAATGTTATCGAAGGGAGGTTCAAATTGGCCGGATGGTCAAGCGTGTTATTGCACGGTTCACCAGTTGCATTTCTAACTGCAGCTGGACTGATTTCGGGCAATGAGCACAAGAAGCTGATATAATCTTCATATCCGGTAGGTAAGACTAGGCCTGGATCCAGGGCTCGACTTGGACTGACTAGTCCAGCTCCGAAATCAAAATGGCTGGAAGGATATGTACTGCCTATGCCAGATCCTTCCGCCATGATAAGTTCCCCATTTTTGTCGTACTTTGTGGCAGTGGTGGAAATCGCGGACGCAATCATGGATGGAGTCCATGAAGGATTGTACTGCTTGACGAGTGCTGCTATTCCCGCCACATGAGGTGTTGCCATGCTTGTACCAGATTGTAATGCAAAATTGTACCCTAAACAACAAAAACACCAAAGTTTGTTAATTATTTGCTTGTATATCAAGGTATTGCCGAAATAACACAAAAGATTGCTGCAGGCTTGCATCTTCTTATCACCTGTTAAAGCGGGTTCTGAGGCGCTAACGGGACTCCAAGCTGCCCAAATTTGGTGCCCTGGGGCAAGAATATCCGGCTTTAATACATCACAAGGAGTCCTGGAGGTGTTTACAAAATCTGGTCCCCTCGAAGAGAATCTGCTTACAACGGGCGCTTGTCCCATGAAAGAAGCAACTCTTCCTTCTCCGATAGCTGCTTCTGCCGCGAATCGAGTTGCAAATCCCTTCTCCTCCTTGTGTGTTTCTTGTTCATAATATTGTAATATAACCTATAATTTATTATCAGTTCTTGAAAGAATGTTCTGCTAATTTCTGGATAGGCCAAGGCTCATCGAAAATATGATATAATTTTAACATATATACCTGGGAATTGGTTAAATTAGGGACCAGAATGCCAGGAACAACAAAAGGAATAGGTTCTGCAATGAAATCACCGTAGGCCGGATTTGCAACAAAGATAAAACCCATAAACCCTAGACCTTTTGCCGTGTTGATGATGGCAGTGAGGGTGGATGTTCCGTTGTAGAATCCCTCCGAGAAGGTGCAGATGACGATGCTACCTAGTACTACATTGTGATCCAATGCTTCTGGATATTGGCACTCTTCGACATAAGGCGGAGTCCTTGGGAAAGTCCCATCTGCCTTCACTGCATCCTTTGCCAAAACCAACTTATGCAGAAGTAAACCATATCCAAAAGTCGGTCCTGAAATCGATAAAGATAATGATTCATGAAAAAATTATGGATGAAGTTGAACCGGGTACAGTTAAAATGTAGTTGAAGTTGAGACATTAGTACCTGATAATCCCACACCTTCGATTTTTGTGCCATTTCCGAGAAGAATAGAACCCGGATAAGTTCTATCTGTGCCAGATGAAGCGACACCTACAGCCCAAGGGCTGTAAGACACTACGCTTGAAATACCTGGCCCTTGATTACCTGTTGCTTGCACCACGAAAACCCCTGCTCTTCGAGCAGATAACATGGCAATATCGTACGCGCTTAAGAAGGTAACCGTGTCTTCGGGCGGTTCATCTGGCCCTACGGAGAGTGTTAGGATGTCCACTCCATCCAGAATTGCCTGTCGTCACAAATGAAAACACACCACACACCAAAAGAAGGTTTTCACTATTTCGGTTCAAACTTGGACGACAAGTTAACTCGAAGAATCTGCCAAATTACAAATCTTACTTGATCGATTGCTGAAACCACATCAGTTAAAGTTCCCACTGTAGGATACACAGCCTTATACACCGCAATTCTGTGACAAAAAAACAAGGTCACAACTCAAAGAAGCCAGAAATGTGAGAATTCTGGAATCTTGACATTGCTGCAATTTAAGCAACAGACAAAGCATACCGTGCCCGTGGAGCCATTCCACTTGCTTCTCCGTAGTAGTAACCATTCACAACCACTGGAACTCCAGCATTACCCGCAGCGGTTGATGCCACGTGACTTCCATGACCAACTGCATCAAAGGGTGAAAGAAAATCCACTGTAGAGTTAAGAGTGGCAGCAGCTTCAGCCCCAGCTGAGAAGAACTTTGCCGAGACTATCTTCCCATTGCATGAACTTGCTGGGAATCGAGGACCCGTTTCGCAAGATCCCAAAAAATGAGAGATATTTCCGGTGAAAGGGTGCAGGGGATCATTAGCAAAACTGGGGTGTGTGGGGTTGATGCCTGAATCCACAAAACCAATCACGATTCCCTCGCCGGCGCTACGATCATCTCCTCCATCGTGTGTCCATGCTCCTTGGGGTAGTCCAAGGAATTCAGGAGTGTACGTTGTCATCAACTTTGCTCCTCTGTCTCTCTCAACTAACTTCACTCCTGCAGCAGCTTTGAGCTTCTCAGCCTGTAATGTTCATCATCAAACACATAGTTAAATGATAAGTCTATATCCAAGAAGTATTGAACTGAATTTTATATATAAGCAATAATTTCTTTAAACCAAACTAAATTACGGGGAGTGAGACTCGAACTTAGTGGATAGGGGTAGGGGCAGCATATACGCTCTAACCAATGTGGTGCTACGCCTACATTTGCATATTGGACTGAAGTTGTAAATTGAAAAAAGTTACTGGACCTTCGCTAAAAACAACGTCCAAAATCCAAATTTCTATTATTCAACACGTGAAGTGTGCTTTCCTTTGCATCCAAGTCCAAAATCTCTCGTCCAATAATTTAAATTAGATTAGAATATCTCTGCTCGAATAAATAAAAAAAAACGCATAGTGGCAGAGGACCTGGGAAGGGGTGGTATGGACAGCAAAGCCGTTTACAATATGTTTAAAGCTGTAAAGCTTGCTGTAGCTTCCCGTCTCTAAAGCACTCTGTAGAAGTTGGTCATGAGAATCCACCAAACGCTTTGCATGGGCCTTGAAAACTTCACTAACGATATCCATGCATCAAACCATAGATAATTAAGATCATAATCAGCAATTATCATCATAAACACACACACATATATAGGGAGAATTTCTGTGCGGGACATCCTATCTTTCTTTAAAAACATGACGTTCTGCACGGAGAATCTCTTTCTGAACGTATCACGTCTTCAAGAAAGACAACATATCCTGCACAGAGCCGGACTGCATATGCATGACAACAAAATAAGACAAGTTTTGTGTTCCCCGTCCCACCTGTTTGGATCAAGACGCCTTCCGTCTTCACGAGATGATATTCGAGAACCTCCATGGAATGCGACCGGGTCTCCTTCCATCAAAACCATGTACAAGTCTCGCTCTTCCGCAAAGCTAACGAACCCGACAGAAACAATGAGCGCTAGGAAAAATATTGGAGGCATTACACTGGCCCTTCCTCCCATGGTTGCAGCACAAACAGAGAAATATGTTGGGGATTATGGTGTTGATTCGTTCGGTTTAATGGTAATTAATTGTGCTGTTAGATGTTTTCCATATATATGATTCTGCAGTTTAGGACTTACGAACAGAAATTTACTCGTCAGCTTCACAAATTTAAAATATGAAGAAGTTGCCATATCTGCCATGCAAACAATCAATGGTTAACTGCACTATTAATGTGAATAGAGCTTTCTTTAAGAGGAAAACCAGCATGCTTTTTGGACTAAATCGTTATCTTTCGTTTAATTCAGTTTGTAATTGAAAGTTTACGTGAGCGTGTTCATGCCCTCTCACACCAAACAACCTTGATGAGTTCGTTATTTTCCGGCGGAGAGGGACGGAAGAAGAGTAAAAGCAAGAGGAAAAGCTAGTTTCTGGTTCACAATCAACAAAGTCTGGGAGCTTTAGTATCGTCCAGAGGAATAGGGCGTGTGACCGTATGAATTCTGTTCTTTTGGTCACCTAGTGACTAAAGATTCATGGCCACACACCGGTGAGTGACCCATGCATTCTCTGGTCGCTTGGTGACCAAGAGAACATGTTTGGCAACTGTATATAATGGAAACCATCTACCAGGTTAGAAAAGCAGCTATCAAACCATATATCTGCTGTAACGTTTTACTGTGCATTATTATCTGCATCTGCCTTGAAGCAATGCCCGATTCCCGCAACTTAAACATACAAAAAGCTATCCGACCACCACGATGAAGAGAACACGCAAAACAGATTCATACGTTAATAATTAAAATTACGAAGCAACAATTTTTGGAAGCAAACGATTCATTGATTGTCGAGAACGAGAACAAGGTTCGAACTCAATTCTGTTTTGTTAAAATTACATGACCAATTTCCTGAAAATGAAGCTGGTGCACATAGCCTAAATCAAACTAAGGTCATGATATGTAACCAAAACGTTAACCTCCTGGTATCCTACTATACAGCCCACATGGCAGACATCAAAAGAGTTGATAGCATCTCGGCTCCTAGCAAACCAATGCTTGCTAAGGATGTCATTTCTTCTGGCGCTTGGGCTCGAGCTGCAAAAGGTTATGAATTCAGATTACACATTTGTCGGGATTGATATAACTATAACATATTTTGATGTATAGAGTGTAGAATGAATAAAAAGACCACTCTACTTTTAACGTCCAACAGTTTTTGAACAGAAAAACAACCGGTGAATAACAAGGAGAATGGACAATAAACTTCCGTGACGAAAGCAAAGCATCATTGATCATAAAATATACAATGAACATCTGAAACCTTTATTAATTTATAATTTGCCATTCAGCCTTGTCTATAGTTATCTAAAACTCCATTATATGAAATCACACCTCCGCAACAGCT